ATACACATTAAACAATATAAAGCCCTCTTGTCATTGCGTGGCAAGTATTCTTTTTTCTACAAAATCGAGAATAACTCGAAGACTGTCATGGGTCACCACCTACATTTTTCTGTTTTCACCCAGCTTCGAAAGTTCGTTCAGGTACACTGCAGCACCATAAGCTGTAATTTTGATTTATGTAAATTTGATTGCGGTTTTATTCACCTGCAATAAAAAACTAGGATCTTCACATACCAACTATTTCACAGAGGGGTCGATGCCGACCGACCCCAGGTCATTCTTCGCTCTGGCAGGTGCACCCTCGCTGAACTGCTTCAAGGCAAGACTGGACGCACACTGGTCCCACATCATATACTCCGTACCTGATCCTGATTGATCTCGTAAAGCCACAATCCCAGGAGCTCGATAAGATCGGGTACCACAGGCCATTATGCCTAAAAATCCCGAAACCTCAAGGTAAAACCACAATGCTTGAGGGTGTTTTCGTTTAAAAGAATAGCATTTCAATTATCTCCTACTGCGTGCCATGGTTTTTGTTACACATAGAAGAAAACAACTGACATTTGTGGCCAAAAACATCCCGCTTCCCTGCCGGCTCGAATTAATGTATTGCATACACATTAAACAATATAAAGCCCTCTTGTCATTGCGTGGCAAGTATTCTTTTTTTCTACAATATCGAGAATAACTCGAAGACTGTCATGGGTCACCACCTACATTTTTCTGTTTTCACCCAGTTTTGAAAGTTCGTTCAGGTACACTGCAGCACCATAAGCTGTAATTTTGATTTATGTAAATTTGATTGCGGTTTTATTCACCTGCAATAAAAACTAGCAGGTGTGGCCAACAACGCCCAAGGTTGAAGGTAAAATACGTCCGACAAGATTTTTGACCCACTTTTGAATGCCACTCTATGTAGCTTACCGCTTAACTAATTAAAACAAGGATTGCAGAGCTCTATTCATACATTTCAGCATCCTCTTCAACAAATCAACAATATTATCAGTCGGGCACACTGTAGTATTTCCGATCCATTTATGGAAACGTTTCCATTTTTAGAACAATGTTCCAAAAATGGATACGCCGTTTCCAAAAATAGAAACGGTCTGTTCCATAAATGGAGACGCTGCGTGCATCGCTACCTTTAAAGCAAACTGGGCATTGATTGCTGCAATTTGGCATGCGCAGGATGCCACCAATCGACAGCCAGCATTCTAGTTTATATTCCTCTTCTCCGAATTTCCGATCAGAAACCGAAAGTCGACAAACGAGGCGATGCTTATAACATGTTGACGTGATAAAAAATTCACAAGTTTTTCTAATCAAATAAGGTCTGCACCGTCGTCACACCAAATACCGTCGTATTCTGACGATGAATTTATTCATTCTAGCTCATGTGTAACATTGATATCAATTTTATATTGAAATGATATCTAGCTTTATGTACTGCCCACTTTGGACCACATTTGTCCAGTAGGTTCTAGGAAATCTTAGTGTTAGTTGACTTTTAAATGTGCTAAGTTGCAGCGCGTAATATATTAGTATCAAACCCGACGTCCAAGGTAACTGCCGAGAGCCGAGATGCTAAACCAGTCCCAAAACATCAATTTTTAGTTGCATGTGAATTTTAAAAAAACACATTTAAAGGGACTATCCCACCTTTAACATGGGGTTTGAGTTGAGATAGCCAAGTTTGCAGCGAGGTTCAGAAACCACTATCTATCTAGGTTGCAACCCCCGCGGCCTCTTGGTGTTGAAGAAATTTGTTCCCTTCATTTGAAAATGGGCCTTGCGCCAGGCCCTATCTTCAACATGGAGCGGCCGTTAGTTTGACGTCACCGTTTAGTCATTCTGATTTAAATGGGTTTGTTCGTTGAAAAATCGCTTAAAACTTGGTCTGAGCTTTGTTATAGTGCCTACAGAGTAAAAAGAATCAGCTTTATGACAGTAATGTGGCCTGGGGAAGGAGGTAATTTTGGGCTGTGACGTCACATATCATCCAATCTATAAAGTCGGCCACAATTTAACTGGTTTTAACAACATTTTAGAAAGTGGGATAGTTCCTTTAAGCTAAATTTGCACACATTTGAACTTCAGCGTTTCTATTTTTGGAACATCGGCGTTTCCATTTTTGGAAACTAAGTCTCCATAAATGGATACGATTCAGGAGCATTTTTAAGTGGTGAATTTGAATGCACACGACAGCTTTCCATGCAAGAAGACAAGTGCTTTTGGTGTATCCGTGCTTGTTTTACGCAAAACAGTGGTTATACCTACATCAAATCCAGCCACCCTTGACAAGAAAATTTGTGCGGAAATGTTAGCGTTTCTATTTATGGAACAAGCATTTCCATTTTTGGAACAGAAGAGTAGTCAAAATTGGAAACGTTCCCAATAAAAGAAATGTCTCCATAAATGAATCGGAGATACCACAGTGCGCCGGACTGTTGTCAGCATTAATTGAGCTATTAGGGGTGGCATATGTCGATACCACATAAGACACCAAAATGCAAATTACTCTGCAAGGAAGTATCCATAGCTCCATAGCAACCACCTAGCAACGTGAATCAAAGCTGTAAACAACTCGCGTTTGTCTCAGATGCGCATTTTTCGGAGCATATAACCAGAATCTGTTATCCTCGGCGTCATAATGAATGTTGCAAAACAGCGACCATTTGACTATCAATAAGGACGATTTTTGCGAAATTCATGTTTCTTGCCTAACTACCTTTCGAAAAAGTTAACAGACGCTAAACAAGTTAGTCGAGCCGACGAAGATGGTCGAGCGTGGCAGGGCAGCGTCAAACTCACCGTGTCTGTTCTTCCCGAGTCTTCAAAGTCTTCTAGCGAAACCAAGCACAGAAAACTCACAAGTTTCAATGAAATTAGACAGCAACAATGTCTAACGAAACTTTAAAATAATATCTTCTAACTTCTCTCACAAATGACACCTCAATCAACAGCCGGATCCGTCAAGGGTCCCGATCAAGTCCCGACAAGATTCCTATAGATTCCTAAGGATAAGCCGGTTGGGCCAGGCAGTCACGTGACAGTTTCTGCTTGGTGTTTGAGTTGTGCCATCGTGGCTTATTGATATCTTTAAACAATTTTTAGACAAAATGTAGCTGAATATGTTAACATATATTTAAAAAAAAATAATTAATATTATTTGCAACATTATTTAATAAACAGAAATAAGCAAAAAACAAAAGTTTTGGCCTAAGCGTAAAACACTTATTTATGTATACTCTTGACATTGCTTTGCATTGAAGATTCAGGCTAGAAAATTTTTCATACCCATTATAGGTATAATACAATTTATACAATACTTATTTCTATGCTAAGATTGCTCTAGCGTATCCGGCAAATAAAATGGGCATAGGTATAAATACGCATAAAAAATAAGTTAACATAGACTTGGGTGTAACCACGGATCACATACTGCCTGGGCCTATAAGGTGTCGCATAAGGTGATCCGTGGTATAACTAATGGTCAGAAGAGGGCAAGCAGCGCGCTTGGGATGAGGCGTTCTCTAAGACGTCTCAGCAGCGTCTGCTGGATGGCGCAAACCAGGTGGTCCGGGTGCGTCTTCTTGCTGCCGCAGAGCCCCACACCGCCGCCTGGGTGCAAGCCCTCCCAGTCACCAGTCTGGGACTCCACCTGGAGGACGAAACCGTCCGGGTAGCAGTGGCGCTGCGACTCGGGGCACCGGTATGTGAACCGCACAACTGCCAGCTCTGCCGTCGTCCTGCTGATCGACTGGGCTACCACGGTCTCTCCTGTGCCAAGAGTGCTGGCCGCCACGCACGTCACGCCAACCTTAATGACGTGCTGCGGCGGGCACTCAGCAGCACAGGGCTCGAGTGTTTTAGAGCCCACCGGCCTTGACAGAGGTGACGGCCGACGTCCCGATGGGATAACGCTCTCCCCTTTCAGCCGAGGAATGAGCCTGATATGGGACGCCACCTGCTGCGACACCTTCTCTGCAACTGCTGTCATCAGCTCTGCCTTGAGTCCTGGTAGCGCCGCTAGATGTGTGAAGAAATAGACATCTGACAATTGGCTGACTTCCCTGCCTCCCGGCCGCTACTCAGGTCCACCACTCACCGTTGTCAGTCAGTGCACGGTTTTTCTAGCAAGCTCCAGCCTAGTATTGATCTTATTCAGTATTTACGGTACGAAGATTTGATAACGGAATGTGACGTTTCCACATCATGCTTGATGGTTGAAGTTTGCAACGTTAACAGCTACCAAGTCAAGTCGCAGCCCCAGTCATCTGGCACGTCTCTGTCATCGAATAAAGCCAATGAACAAGAAAGTTATTATTTTCCAGCATAAATGAAAATAATAACACTGCTACAGGCGGTACGCGGATGTCATGCACTACACACGATTCAATCGAATAAAAACTGGATTAACCATAAATCAGCACTGGATTAACCATAAATAATAACAGTACAGCACCAAACACTTGAGATACACATTATAGTACTTTAGAATTTAGATGCACAGAGGAGTAATGAGACTAAAAGTTTATGCACGCCCTATCTTAAAAAATATTGAACGAGATATTTCCACAGTGCATACGCGGATGTCATGCACTACACACGATTCAATCGAATAAAAACTGGATTAACCATAAATCAGCACTGGATTAACCATAAATAATAACAGTACAGCACCAAACACTTGAGATACACATTATAGTACTTTAGAATTTAGATGCACAGAGGAGTAATGAGACTAAAAGTTTATGCACGCCCTATCTTAAAAAATATTGAACGAGATATTTCCACAGTGCAAAAACAAAACCGAAATCCGACAAAAACCGATTCCAGGTTCAATGTCCACAGATTTAAAAACAAAACTTTCAAGTGCCCCCATGGTAAAAAAAAATGACCAAAGACGGAATTGTAACAAAGAATAAATAAAGATATGTGCGGCAAACGAAGAGCGGCACTGGACGAGCGTCTGCCCAAAGTAGGCGCCCAGAGTTAGTCCTTAGCCCAGCGGGCAGCAGCAAATGAATTACAGCCAAAGGAAGAATATGCATTAGTCTATTAAGGCTCATCGCACCATGACGAGGCACAGCTCGGATAACGCGATTCGCCTGCGTCCTCCAGGCGAGAAGCACCTCGAGTAGGCTGCCGTGTCTTGACCAACTGCCGCATCCGTCGTCCGCGCCGCAGGCCTCCCAGCGGCCATGTTCCAACGGAGCCGTGAGCTTCACCGTCTCCCGCTCCGCCTCTACAAGGTGGATGGAGGCCTGGCCGGACGGGTGGCACAAGGACATCTGGAGCTCCTGCTGCCGGGCCCGGTGGAAGGAGTAGAACGCCGCTCCGCGGTCGACATCCACCAGCTCCGAGCCGGCCACCAGTCCAGCTCGGAGTAGTGCCTCCATCGCATCGGCCGTCGACCGGCGTGGGGCCCGGATGTGACTAGTGCAGCTCCGTGGGGTGCCCTGCCGCGCTCTGCCGAGTGTGCAGAGAGCAGGTAGACTGGTGGCGGTGAAGAAAACAAGCTGTTATCTTCTTTCGGGATCTGTAAAGAAGCATTCCACTAAAAACTACATCCAAAACGTTTTCCATATTTTTTTACAGAACACAATGCAGTAGCCAAAATAGATATGAAGTATGTGAAGACAACAGTCTACTGCCATTAGATAACTGATCCTGATGGCCAAATACTTTAGATACTAGTATATCATAAGGTGGTTCAAAGGCACACTTTGGAGCTCCAGTAAAAAATCACTGTTTTTCATACTTCATACTGTAAGGGGAAAGGGTGGGGTGGGGATGCAGCCAAGAGTGCATCATATAGGGTTGTAGTCTCCCCGCCGTATACGGAGGGGAGACCCATACCAGAACGTAGATTGTGAAACAATGTAAGTGTCTGCCAATATTACCTTTTCCAGAAGAGTTGAAAAACAGCATTGGGTCAGCTCTTGTGAGAAGCACCATGCAGTGTTGGCTGCACTTCAATCTCGTCTCCTGCAAAAAAAAAACTATCACTGTATGATTGACAGTTTGATTGCATTTCCTTCAAGCTGCAACATCTCCATTTTAGACATTTTCAGTTCCCACTTGCGCACGGCACCCTACTAACCGGTCTCTAGCGATGTGCCAAATCTGAGCACAATCGGCCCGGCCGTTCTCGAGATCTGGAAGCGTCACCCTGCACGTGTGCACGTGCAGTTGCACCCCAACCGTGACACATTTAAACACATTGCCCGGTAGGTGCCTACATCCTTGTTATAATGTAGTTATTGTCATTACAATCAAGTTGTACCGTGTTATTGTCATTACAACAAAAGTGACACCTCTCTGTTTTACACGTGTCACGTGCAGTGGGGGTTACCCGCATGCATTGTCCATAGTAAAATACTTCTAAGAAGGGCATACACTACCCCACACAAAAAACTGCAAGTGTAACGGTCCAGTGGCTGCGGAGATATAAGTCGTACAAAAACGTCCCTACAGCGGCCGGCCGCTAATATTTAGCATTAAATTCGTGTCTCATCCTTCTATGGGAGGTATCCCCGTCACCTGTTCGTATACTGTCTGAGCCAAGGCCATATATGGGTGTGAGCTCAAATCTCGGTAATGTCGTGCTTTTATACTAAATTTCTCGAAAACGGCACGGTGACTGGCCATGTTATGTCCGGCCGCCACCCAGCCGCCCGCCGCGCCTGGCCGGGCTGCTGCTTCGCCGGCCGGGTGGCGCGGGCGGCCCTCCTGGCTCCCGCCCGTCTGGGATGCGCTCCCCATCCGCAGGGCGTCGGCGGCGCCCAAGAGGCACAAGAATAACGGCGGTGTTGCGGGCGGCTTGTGGGGTTACGGTGCCGCGCTCTTTCCCCGGCCCCATCGCCGTCCGTCCCCCCTCCCCGGTGCCGTTTTCTTCCAGGGGAGGCGCCCCGGCCGCCGTGCTGGGGCGTAACGCAGTCCGTGCTTTTAGCACAGCAAAATATCCACCCAGGCTAGATTAAAGTCACGACAACCTAGGATTAAGAGTGGCTACAGACTTCAGACTTTATGCAGACTTAACATTGAGGTATTATATGTGCAACTAACTGACACACATGGTGTTTGTTCTAACCTTCTCAACAGAAAGTGGACGTGTCAGGCCAGCACCCCTTGGTGACCATTATACTCAAGGGGTGTAGGAACTGATTCCCCAGGGGTGAAGCGATAGAAGCAAAAACATGAGTCACTAGTTCCCTCCTGTGTCTTCCCTCCAGCAGGAAAAATATATGCGTGATGCCCAATGTGACTAATAACTGCATATCATAAAGCTGGAAATATTGTACAAAGTTGTGACAACACAAGCAAACTATGCATGTCACTGCTCTTGTTATTGCTATATGAGACCCCACAAGACACAAAAATATGTCGCTGCAATGTGAGCTATTCTTTTATTACAAATAAAATCTTCCCATGAAATTCATTATTGTCACTGCAGAGCTCATTCAGTCAATCATTCATCAGTCAGTCATTCAGTCAGATCATCAATCATTCAGTCAGATCATCAATCATCAATCATTCAGTCAGAGACTGTGCAGAGACTTCATCATTCAAACAATCAGAGAATCAATGTGCAGAGACTAACACTTTACAATCTAGTGACTTATCACAAACATCTTTTATGCTACAAGCTTATGCTTACTCAACACTTTTTCATGACTCAAATATGGTGGTGTTCATTTAAAGTGAAAACACTCATCCAGCACTAAGCAGATTATTTCTAAGCTCGTTTAAGTCCCAATTTCTGCTATATTTCGCTTGGAGTCACTTCATAGTTTGAACTCAAGGTGCCTTGTGGATTAACCTCAGGTATGGGTAAATCCACAAGGATTTATGGGCTTTACCTCAGTTATGTAGCTGCTCCCTCAATTTAAGTTTCTCATTAAATTTCATTGAGGCGTTGCAAGATGGGCTGTAGCCGAATCCTCTTCTCTGTTTAGCTGATGCTCATAATACCTGAACATTTCTAATTCCAATTTTTATAGCTTTAACAATTGGTAAAGGCCCATGTACCTAGACAACAATGACTTTACAGAGGAAACCCCTGGCTGTGTTTCATGGGCGCGCTGCCAGCCGCTGCCAGCCCATTCCGCGTGAGCTAGCGTCAACCTCCGGTAGTGTTGGAGGTATAGGCTTGTTGATGTCTCTATGGAAGCCAAAAGTGGCTGGCAGAGTGCCGTGATACACCACCCTTATTTTTGCACAATAATGCTGTGATAACTGTTCCTGCAAAAAATATAAGGTGAAGTGAAGTAAAATCAGGTCAAACATTAATATACCCAAATATAGCAGTGTATGGAGTACCTATATTCACATTACCAATAATATGATGCACAACAGGCCATAGAAAACCAGTGAATGTTGAATTGTACCCCAATTTCAATATCAATATGGCACTTGGCAATAACAGTAAAACACACCGTTTTTTATGTTAAATCAACAGAGAAAACTCCTGAACATAAAAAAATCAGAATGTATAATAAGGATAAAAGTATAAATAAAAATCGACGACATCAGCGCCTATCATCGCCCTTGCACATTCACCACTCCCCATTCCACGCACAGATTGTTTACCCCTTGGTTTACCCCGTGTTCGCAGTCTCCCTGACGACGGAGATTCTATACGCCCACCGACCAATCACGTTCAAGATCAGCGGGGCTTGGCCGCAGTTCTCGAACGCCATTGGCCAGATTAAGCAGGACCTTCGTCGTCAGTAAACTGTGAACACGGTGTTACATATTTCGCTATGGTAACAAAAGCGCCAGAATTGACTACCAGAATTGGATCCGAAGGTCAAATGGGTCACGTGACTGACAAGTTCAGATGGACAACACATGGAAAACGGCACAACGTGCAATAACGTTCTTTATATCATTGGAAAGAGCATCAAAAGTTGTATAACCTATCAACTTTTCACTTAAATATCAATAACGTAAAAAGTTATAAAGCAGCAAAGACGCTCCCATTGACTTTGCATGTTAAAAAAATTCTTCTTTAAACGAGCTCAAAAAGAACAAACGAATTCTGACAGTTAAACGAAGCATAACAACATATTCTATGGTCTTTTCTCAACAAGTCCTGAAAGTTTAAACAAATCGTATCATATAATTTTGTACAATGTGCGAATGAAAATGCCTCTGCAAAAACGCCCATTGACTTAACATGGGGAGCGAAAAAAGTTCAACTTCAAACTCGTGCAACTCAAGTTAACGAATTCTGACGGGTATACGGCGCACACTGGCGTGTACCAGAACGTGTTTGCCATAAAATGCTGGGAAGAAAACCACCTCCTTCTTGGCTCGTTTTCCCGCCATTGGCGATCGCGCAAAAAGTGTCCAAAACCCCGTTGACTTAACATGGGGAACATGCAATTGCACGTGGCACGCGCAATGATTTTTGTTGCGAGTAGCGACCGGTACCATCAGGTAGATCACCTGCAAAAGTCTATACCCTGAAATTTTTACGATCCTAAACGCAAAACTCTAGGCCCCAATCAAGATGTCTCGATTCGCTGCCAGACTTGCAAAACATAGCCCGGAGACGGACCGCTCCGGTTGTTTTTCAATAGAAAACACAATTCTAACGAATAGTGTTTGTCTTTTCAAACAACCTGCGGTTATATAGTACATCTTAGTTAGGGAAAAAGTATACCAAAAATTTTGCACTGACCAGTCGGCAACTTCATAACGAACATTTTGATGCATAATATGTGGGGTTTCAATTTGGTGTCTATCAGCAATAAGACTCTGAATATCCGGCTCAAGAAACCTCTTGCTCCGCGTCAGTTTCCGAGTTCTGGGATACCCCATCTTCGGGGGCTGATTACAGCTATTTTTGGTCACCCGGATTAGTTTTTTTGGCCTAAGTATAATAATTTGATCAATTTCAAATCGATCTATATAAAAAATAATCCGAAACTCCGGAATCGCCCGTGGCCTCTCGTGAGGGCGTTTCCGACCAGTGTGCGGCGTTGCGAAGAAGAGAAATGAAGGTGGTATTTTTGAACTGACTGAGGAGATATCATCTGGAGCATCTACAGGTATAGATCAAAACCCCGACAAAACCGACATTACACCCCAAGTTGGTAAGTTATCAGAAAGTGCGTACACCCCATTTGGAAAAGGGTCGGCCAGTTCCAGTTATCTCTCTCGCTCTTCCAGTGACACGGGTAGTGAGGGGACTAATTCCGAATTCGATCTGCAATGGCGGCCCTGGAAAGGAAATTTGTGGCAATCCTGTCAAGGAGGGTGAGGCTGGAATACTCTGCGACTGCTGCCATGCGTGGTTTCATGCGGGGTGTCAGGGTGCCCAGAAACTGGCTATCACGGCTCTTGATCGCTTCAAATCTCTTGCCTGGCTCTGCGCAGCCTACAAAATGGATCTAAATAGCAGCAAGTCTCGGCACTCTCACTCGGATCCCCTCGAGAGTAAGATCAAAGGCCTGGAGTCTGCTGTATCGACCCAAATGAGTCTCATGATGGACATGTTGCGGGAGCATGAGAGGTTCTTAGGCGAAAAGCTCGCTGTCAAGTGTTCAAATTATCAGCCCAAACTCAACTTCAACCGAGGTGATTTCACCCGTTTAAACCGAACACTAGTCGAGGAGGACTGGTCACCCCTGCAAAATGGTTCGATGGAAGAAGGCTATACTTACCTGAAATCAACATTGGACAGGATATAGTCTCCACCTGTATCCCGCTATCTAAGGGTTTTAAGGCACGCAAAAACATCTATATGACAAGTGCTGCCCTTCAGCTACGGAAGCAGAAGACCATGCTATGGGTGAAAGCTGCCACCTCGGCTCCAATGACCCACTTGACACAGCAAGATACCGTGCCTGCAGGAACAAACTCAGGCAACTGACAAGACGACTCCGCACCAGTTTTGAGGCACAGCTAGTGACTGACTTGAAGACCAACCCCAAGGCCTTCTGGAAGTATACCAAAAGTAGACTCAAGACCAGGCCCAAGGTCGGGGATCTCAAAGACACAAATGGTCAATTGGTTAGCGATGCCAAACTTAAGGCTGGTATCCTCAACCAATTCTTTGCTTCAGTTTTTACCATTGAAGATGCAAACGATGTGCCAACTCTGGACGATCGCGTCCAGTCGCTCGGTCTCGATGACATCACCATAACAACGCGGGCGGTGGAAGAGAAGCTCCGAGGCCTTAATGTGTTTAGACCTGCACCCGAGGGTACTGAAAGAGGCTCATAGCTCCCTCTCTGGGCCCCTTGCCTACCTCTTCCGTAAGTCACTGGACACTGGTTGCGATCCTGACGATTGGAAACTGGCACGTGTGGTTCCTATCTACAAAAAGGGAAGCAAGGTGGAACCATGCAATTACCGCCCAGTGAGCCTCACAGCTATACCGTGTTAAGTGCTCGAATCTCTTATTCGAGACGAATTGCTGAAATTCCTCACTGAAAATGAGGTCATGACCACCCACCAGCACGGCTTTCGACCTGGAAGGTCGTGCAATACTCAACCTTTCGAAGTCCTGGATGACTGGAGCAATGATATCGAACAGGCGAACCCAATAGATGTTATTTATCTCGACTTCCAGAAAGCATTCGATTCTGTACCCCACCAGAGACTTTTGAGCGAGCTCCGCAGCTATGGGGTATCAGGTAAGCTCCTGGCATGGATTGAGGCCTTTCTAACCGGAAGGAAACAACAAGTGGTCATCGACGGGCGCCCCTCGAACTGGACGGAGGTCGCTAGCGGCGTACCCCAGGGATCTGTGCTCGGATCTTTACTCTTCTTAATCTATGTGAACGACCTGCCAGACGAAATTCACTGCAAAGTGAAGTTGTTCGCTGATGACACAAAATTGTACTCCTGCGCCCATTCCATAAACAACACGACTCTCATGCAAAATGATCTGAATGCTCTCTTAAAGTGGTCAAATTTGTGGATGATGCCTTTCAACAAGGACAAGTGTACCGTACTGCACATAGGAAGCACGAATTGCGGATTCTCATACACTCTGGGAAATTTTCCCCTAGCCAGTGCAAGAGTGGAGAAAGACCTTGGTGTCCACGTGGACGACGCTCTTAAGTTAAAGGGACTCTCCCACCTTCAAAAAAGTTAATGAATTGGCATGAAAGTGATGTCGCTCGGTTCAGAAAGAGCAAAAACGAATATCTACCAAATTTCATCAAAAAATATTCACCGGTTTTCAAGATATTAGACTTTTACTTTTGTTTACTTTTTGGGATCTCCGCTGTTCCTAGCGACTTTATTTGAAAGTGCGGCATTTGTTGCGCGCAAAGCAGCATATACCACCGCGTGCTACAAAACGTTTTAGTCAAACATTTAACGGACGTTCGAAAGCCTGATGACGTCATCAGATTCCCGTAATGGTTAAGAGATAGGGACCACGCTGGTCCCACCCTGCAAGTAAAGGGAAGAAATTTCTTGAACACCATAAAGCTGCGGGGGTTGCGACCAGGATAAATGGTGGTTTCTGAGCCTGGCCGCAAACTTGGCTATCTCAACTCAAAACTAATGTTAAGGTGGGAGGGTCCCTTTAAGTGAACACGCAGCGTCAGCAGTGGCGAAGGCTACGCAGCTCCTCGCCGTAATCAAGAAGTCGTTTTCCCTCATCAACGAAGTCACGCTGCCCATTCTTTTCAAAACCCTGGTTCGCCCACACTTAGAATACGGGAACCTTGTATGGGGTCCATTTTACAGAGCGGATCAGCGATAGGTCGAAAGAGTTCAGCGCAGGGCAACCCGGCTGGTAGAGAGCATCCGCCACAAACCCTACACGGAGCGACTCAAAGAACTGAAGATGCCATCACTGCATTATAGACGACTGAGAGGTGATATGATCTTCACATACCAACTATTTCACAGAGGGGTCGATGCCGACCGACCCCAGGTCATTCTTCGCTCTGGCTGGAGGAGTTACTCGGGGACATCAGTTTAAAATCCAGAAGTTTCCAGCAGCCTCGAGGGTGAGGCCTTTTGCCGCCCGAGTCGTGAACGACTGGAATGGACTCCCCTCCGAGGTGGTTGGTGCACCCTCGCTGAACTGCTTCAAGGCAAGACTGGACGCACACTGGTCCCACATCATATACTCCGTACCTGATCCTGATTGATCTCGTAAAGCCACAATCCCAGGAGCTCGATAAGATCGGGTACCACAGGCCATTATGCCTAAAAATCCCGAAACCTCAAGGTAAAACCACAATGCTTGAGGGTGTTTTCGTTTAAAAGAATAGCATTTCAATTATCTCCTACTGCGTGCCATGGTTTTTGTTACACATAAGAAGAAAACAACTGACATTTGTGGCCAAAAACATCCCCCTTCCCTGCCGGCTCGAATTAATGTATTGCATACACATTAAACAATATAAAGCCCTCTTGTCATTGCGTGGCAAGTATTCTTTTTTCTACAAAATCGAGAATAACTCGAAGACTGTCATGGGTCACCACCTACATTTTTCTGTTTACACCCAGTTTTGAAAGTTCGTTCAGGTACACTGCAGCACCATAAGCTGTAATTTTGATTTATGTAAATTTGATTGCGGTTTTATTCACCTGCAATAAAAAACTAGCAGGTGTGGCCAACAACGCCCAAGGTTGAAGGTAAAAAACGTCCGACAAGATTTTTGACCCACTTTTGAATGCCACTCTATGTAGCTTACTGCTTAACTAATTAAAACAAGGATTGCAGAGCTCTATTCATACATTTCAGCATCCTCTTCAACAAATCAACAATATTATCAGTCGGGCACACTGTAGTATTTCCGATCCATTTATGGAAACGTTTCCATTTTTAGAACAATGTTCCAAAAATGGATACGCCGTTTCCAAAAATAGAAACGGTCTGTTCCATAAATGGAGACGCTGCGTGCATCGCTACCTTTAAAGCAAACTGGGCATTGCTTGCTGAAATTTGGCATGCGCAGGATGCCACCAATCGACAGCCAGCATTCTAGTTTATATTCCTATTCTCCGAATTTCCGATCAGAAACCGAAAGTCGACAAACGAGGCGATGCTTATAACATGTTAACGTGATAAAAAAATTCACAAGTTTTTCTAATCAAATAAGGTCTGCACAGTCGTCACACCAAATACCGTCGTATTCTGACGATGAATTTATTCATTCTAGCTCATGTGTAACATTGATATCAATTTTATATATTGAAATGATATCTACGCTTTATGTACTGCCCACTTTGGACCACATTTGTCCAGTAGGTTCTAGGAAATCTTAGTTTTAGTTGACTTTTGAATGAGCTAAGTTGCAGCGCGTAATATATTAGTACCAAACCCGACGTCCAAGGTAACTGCTGAGAGCAGAGATGCTAAACCAGTCCCAAAACATCAATTTTTAGTTGCATGTGAATTTTAAAAAACACATTTAAAGGGACTATCCCACCTTTAACATGGGGTTTGAGTTGAGATAGCCAAGTTTGCGGCGAGGTTCAGAAACCACTATCTATCTAGGTTGCAACCCCCGCGGCCTCTTGGTGTTGAAGAAATTTGTTCCCTTCATTTGAAAATGGGCCTTGCGCCAGGCCCTATCTTAAACATGGAGCGACCGTTAGTTTGACGTTACCTCGTTTAGTCATTCTGATTTAAATGGGTTTGTTCGTTGAAAAATCGCTTAAAACTTGGTCTGAGCTTTGTTATAGTGCCTACAGAGTAAAAAGAATCAGCTTTATGACAGTAATGTGGCCTGGGCCCTGGGGAAGGAGGTAATTTTGGGCTGTGACGTCACATATCATCCAATCTATAAAGTCGGCCACAATTTAACTGGTTTTAACAACATTTTAGAAGGTGGGATAGTTCCTTTAAGCTAAATTTGCACACATTTGAACTTCAGCGTTTCTATTTTTGGAACATCGGCGTTTCCATTTTTGGAAACAAAGTCTCCATAAATGGATATGATTCAGGAGCATTTTTAAGTGGTGAATTTGAATGCATACGACAGCTTTCCATGCAAGAAGACAAGTGCTTTTGGTGTATCCGTGCTTGTCTTACGCAAAACAGTGGTTATACCTACATCAAATCCAGCCACCCTTGGCAAGAAAATTTGTGCGGAAATGTTAGCGTTTCTATTTATGGAACAAGCGTTTCCATTTTTGGAACAGAAGAGTAGTCAAAATTGGAAACGTTTCCAATAAAAGAAATGTCTCCATAAATGAATCGGAGATACCACAGTGCGCCGGACTGTTATCAGCATTAATTGAGCTATTAGGGGTGGCATATGTCGATATCACATAAGACACCAAAATGCAAGTTACTCTGCAAGGAAGTATCCATAGCTCCATAGCAACCACCTAGCAACGTGAATCAAAGCTGTAAACAACTCGCGTTTGTCTCAGATGCGCATTTTTCGGAGCATATAACCAGAATCTGTTATCCTCGGCGTCATAATGAATGTTGCAAAACAGAGCGACCATTTGACTATCAATAAGGACGATTTTTGCGAAATTCATGTTTCTTGCCTAACTACCTTTCGAAAAAGTTAACAGACGCTAAACAAGTTAGTCGAGCCGACGAAGATGGTCGAGCGTGGCAGGGCAGCGTCAAACTCACCCGTGTCTGTTCTTCCCGAGTCTTCAAAGTCTTCTAGCGAAACCAAGCACAGAAAACTCACAAGTTTCAATGAAATTAGACAGCAACAATGTCTAACGAAACTTTAAAATAATCTTCTCTCACAAATGACACCTCAATCAACATCTCCGTCAAGGGTCCCGACCGAGTCCCGACAAGAATATACCATACCCTGGGGCCAGGCAGTCACGTGACAGTTTCTGCTTGGTGTTTGAGTTGTGCCATCGTGGTTTATTGATATCTTTAAACAATTTTTAGACAAAATGTAGCTGAATATGTTAACATATATTTAAAAAAATAATTTTATTTAATAAACAGAAATAAGCAAAAAACAAAAGTTTTGGCCTAAGCGTAAAACTCTTATTTATGTAATACTCTTGACATTGCTTTGCATTGAAGATTCAGGCTAGAAAATTTTTCATACCCATTAGAGGTATAATACAATTTATACAATACTTATTTCCAGTGGCGCGGGAACTTCTTCCAGACTGGGGGGGCTGAACCATCATAGAGATCAACCTAGGGTACTATTACTAAGTGCTCGAGCGAGGAACATATTGAATATAATTAGATAAATAAAAGAAGTTGACCTTTTCCTCGACATCAAAAATGTAAAAAGCCGAATAATATATTTTAAAAAACGGTGAGCTTTCGGCCACTGGCCTTTATCAAACCAACGTGATAACAATGTTAAAAGACGATCCTGTGAATAATCTGTCTGCCATTTTTCAAAAACCGATTGTCATTTTTCAAAAACCGATTGTCTACATCGGACACTATGTAGACAATCGGTCTATCTAATAGTTTGCCCTTATGAGTAGCGCCTTTCCTAAAATATCACGATCTTCGGTTTTTGAAAAATGGCAGACAGATTATTCACAGGATCGTCTTTTAACATTGTTATCACGTTGGTTTGATAAAGGCCAGTGGCCGAAAGCTCACCGTTTTTTAAAATATATTATTCGGCTTTTTACATTTTTGATGTCGAGGAAAAGGTCAACTTCTTTTATTTATCTAATTATACAACCTAGGGTACCCCTAAATCTAGTTTTCTCATCGGTTTTAGGCCACTTATTTCTCAGACCTTGGCCTTTTCAACGAAAAAAAAGAAGAAAATATTTGCAAAAAAAGTGAGGTATTCCGTCTCAGCTGAGTGAAGAAACTAACCGTTTTGGCAGCCTGGAATAAAGGTTTTAAGCTGCCAAATGAGTTGCCGAGTCAGTAAAATAGGTAGATTTTTCACTCACATGCTTTCTTCCTTTGTGACTCACAACCCCTAATTTGGGGAGGACAAGCTGCCCCAACGGTTCCTGGCCTCATGAAAAGTTGTGAAGCACCGCCCCCACGGCCCCAGAGTTGTGAGGGCAAGCTTCCCCCACTGCCCTCTCCCCCGGTTCCCGCGCCTATGTATGAATCTATGAAATTGTGTTGGTAGATTTTCGATTTCGATTCCTCCAGCTGGGGGGGCTCAAATACATTACGAGCCCCCCCAGCCGAAAAGTTGGAGGGGCTCAGCCCCCCCTAGCCCCCCCGGTTCCCGCGCCACTGCTTATTTCTATGCTAAGATGGCTCTAGCGTATCCGGCAAATAAAATGGGCATAGGTATAAATACGCATAAAAAAATAAGTTAACATAGACTTGGGTATAACCACGGATCACATACTGCCCGGGCCTATAAGGTGTCACATAAGGTGATCCGTGGTATAACTAATGGTCAGAAGAGGGCAAGCAGCGCGCTTGGGATGAGGCGTTCTCTAAGACGTCTCAGCAGCGTCTGCTGGATGGGGCAAACCAGGTGGTCCGGGTGCGTCTTCTTGCTGCCGCAGAGCCCCACACCGCCGCCTGGGTGCAAGCCCTCCCAGTCACCAGTCTGGGACTCCACCTGGAGGACGAAACCGTCCGGGTAGCAGTGGCGCTGCGACTCGGGGCACCGGTATGTGACCGCACAACTGCCAGCTCTGCCGTCGTCCTGCTGATCGACTGGGCCACCACGGTCTCTCCTGTGCCAAGAGTGCTGGCCGCCACGCACGTCACGCCAACCTTAATGACGTGCTGCGGCGGGCACTCAGCAGCACAGGGCTCGAGTGTTTTAGAGCCCACCGGCCTTGACAGAGGTGACGGCCGACGTCCCGATGGGATAACGCTCTCCCCTTTCAGCCGAGGAATGAGCCTGATATGGGACGCCACCTGCTGCGACACCTTCTCTGCAACTGCTGTCATCAGCTCTGCCTTGAGTCCTGGTAGCGCCGCTAGATGTGTGAAGAAATAGACATCTGACAATTGGCTGACTTCCCTGCCTCCCGGCCGCTACTCAGGTCCACCACTCGCCGTTGTCAGTGCACGGTTTTTCTAGCAAGCTCCAGCCTAGTATTGATCTTATTCAGTATTTACGGTACGAAGATTTGATAACGGAATGTGACGTTTCCACATCATGCTTGATGGTTGAAGTTTGCAACGTTAACAACTACCAAGTCAAGTCGCCGCCCCAGTCATCTGGCACGTCTCTGTCATCGAATAAAGCCAATGAACAAGAAAGTTATTATTTTCCAGCATAAATGAAAATATATAACACTGCTACAGGCGGTACGCGGATGTCATGCACTACACACAACGATTCAATCGAATAAAAACTGGATTAACCATAAATAATAACAGTACAGCACTGGATTAACCATAAATAATAACAGTACAGCACCAAACACTTGAGATGCACATTATAGTACTTTAGAATTTAGATGCACAGAGGAGTAATGAGACTAAAAGTTTTAGCACGCCCTATCTTAAAGGAAAAGGGCCACCTTCGTGAAATATGAAGATATCGTTGTTTTTCATTTTGACATTATTATTTTTCATTTTCTTTTTAAAACTGGTGCCAGAAGTGCACAATTTGCGAAAAAGTATTTAAAACTATTTAACATATTGGTACTATGTTGATACTCTCTACGGCACCTACTGTATGATGGCATAGCGATGACGTCACACTCAAACCAATCAGCGTTCAGAAGACAGACTCGTCGGATTGTGTCAGATAAGCTGATTGGTTAAAGCTGAGCTGGTTGGAGCTGATTGGTAAAAAACCAAAGCCTCGCCGCGGGTGGCTGTATTGTCGGATAAGAACGCATTCCTGGGATAAGAACGCATTCCTGGCGTATTTTCTTTTAAAATTGCCGATAACTACGAATGGAGGCCGAAATCGGCCGTAAGGAGGTAGACAAATAGGTTTTCGGACACGGGCTACAAGATGGCTATCTCAGTTTCAATCCCCATGTTAAAGGTGGCCCTTTTCCTTTAAAAATATTGAACGAGATATTTCCACAGTGCAAAAACAAAACCGAAATCCGACATAAAACCGATTCCAGGTTCAATGTCCACAGATTTAAAAACAAAACTTTCAAGTGCCCCCATGGTAAAAAAAATGACCAAAGACGGAATTGTAACAAAGAATAAATAAAGATATGTGCGGCAAACGAAGAGCGGCACTGGACGAGCGTCTGCCCAAAGTAGGCGCCCAGAGTTACTCCTTAGCCCAGCGGGCAGCAGCAAATGAATTACAGCCAAAGGAAGAATATGCATTAGTCTATTAAGGCTCATCGCACCATGACGAGGCACAGCTCGGATAACGCGATTCGCCTGCGTCCTCCAGGCGAGAAGCACCTCGAGTAGGCTGCCGTGTCTTGACCAACTGCCGCATCCGTCGTCCGCGCCGCAGGCCTCCCAGCGGCGCATCGGCCGTCGACCGGCGTGGGGCCCGGATGTGACTAGTGCAGCTCCGTGGGGTGCCCTGCCGCGCTCTGCCGAGTGTGCAGAGAGCAGGTAGACTGGTGGCGGTGAAGAAAACAAGCTGTTATCTTCTTTCGGGATCTGTAAAGAAGCATTCCACTAAAAACTACATCCAAAACGTTTTCATATTTTTTTACAGAACACAATGCAGTAGCCAAAATAGATATGAAGTATGTGAAGACAACAGTCTACTGCCATTAGATAACTGATCCTGATGGACAAATACTTTAGATACTAGTATATCATAAGGTGGTTCAAAGGCCGGTGCCGTTTTCTTCCAGGGGAGGCGCCCCGGCCGCCGTGCTGGGGCGTAACGCAGTCCGTGCTTTTAGCACAGCAAAATATCCACCCAGGCTAGATTAAAGTCACGACAACCTAGGATTAAGAGTGGCTACAGACTTCAGACTTTATGCAGACTTAACATTGAGGTATTATATGTGCAACTAAATGACACACATGGTGTTTGTTCTAACCTTCTCAACAGAAAGTGGACGTGTCAGGACAGCACCCCTTGGTGACCATTATACTCAAGGGGTGTAGGAACTGATTCCCCAGGGGTGAAGCGATAGAAGCAAAAACATGAGTCACTGGATCCCTCCTGTGTCTTCCCTCCAGCAGGAAAAAATATATGCGTGATGCCCAATGTGACTAATAACTGCATATCATAAAGCTGGAAATATTGTACAAAGTTGTGACAACACAAGCAAACTATGCATGTCACTGCTCTTGTTATTGCTATATGAGACCCCACAAGACACAAAAATATGTCGCTGCAATGTGAGCTATTCTTATAGGGTTATTGTAGTTGTCCAGTGACCAAGGCCAAACAATATTGGCCGAAATATTTGGACTTGCATACACAATACAATCCCAGTGAATTCCAGTGAATTCATTCTACATTTTCACTACATCAAAAGTGAATGAAATTAAGTGATAATCAAAGACTCTGGAAAAGAAGATCAGCATAACTACATACCTATGTCTTGTTTCCAAAGCTAAAGTATGATCCTCAATGTTGCAAAAGTTGCTTGGCTTTTACAATAATGAACAATACAATAACTTTGAATAAAAAACAACATATGGTAAAGTGAAAACACTTATCCAGCACTAAGCAGATTATTTCTAAGCTCGTTTAAGTCCCAATTTCTGCTATATTTCGCTTGGAGTCACTTCATAGTTTGAACTCAAGGTGCCTTGTGGATTTACCTCAGGTATGTAGGTAAATCCACAAGGATTTATGGGCTTTACCTCAGTTATGTAGCTGCTCCCTCAATTTAAGTTTCTCGTTAAATTTCATTGAGGCGTTGCAAGATGGGCTGTAGCCGAATTCTCTTCCCTGTTTAGCTGATGCTGATAATACCTGAACATTTCTAATTCCAATTTTTATAGCTGTTAACAATTGCTAAAGGCTCATGTACCTAGACAATAATGACTTTACAGAGGAAACCCCTGGCTGTGTTTCATGGGCGCGCTGCCAGCAGCTGCCAGCACATTCCGTGGAGCTAGCGTCAACCTCTGGTAGTGTTGGAGGCATAGGCTTGTTGATGTCTATGG